TGACAAATGATGTACAGGAATCTGCTTTTCTTCTGAGGAACATGAGAGAGAGAGAGAGAGAGAGAGAGAGAGAGAGAGAGAGAGAGAGAGAGGGAGAGATACAGAGACAGAGACAGAGACAGAGACAGAGACAGAGACAGAGAGAGAAAGTACTGGAGGAAGTGGGCTTTTACACCGCGATAAGAACAGAGTATTGTCCGATATAAGGAGCAAGTAAATTTAATGACAGATCAGACAGACCAAGATGGAGGAGGCATGGTGGGACACCTATTCCTGTCCTTAAACCAGGAGAGGTGAATTCCCATGGCTTAAAGGAGATTCTGTACCCACAAGGGGTTGGAGACAGCCACAGAAGGAGAACCAAAGTGGAAGCAAAAGAAGAAAGAACAAGTGGGAGCATAAAATGGAGCCAGGAACAAAGCTCAGGGAGGTGGAAACCACAATGGCCTAATACCTCTCCTGTACTTGCTGGAGGATCTCCAATGTGACATAGCTTTCTAGCAGCCACACAAAAAAACCTATCATTCCATACTCGTAAAATAAAAACAAAATAACTGTTCTGAAGAATTCTAACTGTTCCTGGTACTAAGAAGAAATGTGGATATTTCCTGGGAATCCTCTGAGTGTGTAAAGTGATGGGGTGATTGGCAAGGGGCAGGACCAGTTGGCGAAGGACCCGGAAGCATAAGGAGCTCTCAGGTTTCCTCCTGAGGACAGTGGGAGCCACTGAGGGTTTTATGGTGTTTTTGTTTGTTTTCATACTTTTAAAACTCAATTTATTTTAAATAGTTTCAAGCTGAAGTAAATAATAAGCAAGTAAAGTGAAAGTATAATGAAACCCACACATACCCATCACTCTGCTTCAACAGTTAACAGTTATCAACATTTTGCCTATCACCAAAGGGCTTTGAGCAGGGGGGAGATATGATGACATTTGTGTTTGAGAAAGATACCTCTAGATGCTATGGAGAGAATGATAGAGTGGCGCAGGACTGGATATGTGGGCATCCTTAGGTTGTAGCAAACCAAATTCATTCATTCATTCATTCA